ATTTAATATTATATAGAATCAATTTCTTTAATCTTGATCTGTGTTGTCGGATCACTCTGTAGCTCTGGCATAGTGGGATGAAATGGTTTACACAAAGTGTCTGAGCCAGGGTTTTCACTCACAGGAGACCCGTGTTCGATTGCCCAGAGGGGAAAAGTTTTTGAAAAATATCTCGGTCCTTTTTCTGGTATGTTGTGTATATCTCTCAACCAGGATTGACCCTGACACAGAGAGGGTAGGATTAAGCATGACTTTTTTTTTTTAATTTTAAATGATACAACCTTTTTGGGCGCTCCAGTGGCTAAGTAAGTAGTGAGTTTAGACTCGAGTAATGCCAAGCAAGTGTCGGTGACACGGGGATCAGATGGGTGGTCACTGGGGATGTGTCCTTGAACAAGACACGACAACCCTAGCTCATAAATACAGGGCGCTGCACAGTGGCGACCGACAGTGGTATGGTTGTAGACTGTTATGTTACGTTTTTATAATTATGCATTTATGTATGTTTTTGTATGTTTGCCATTGTAAACCAAAGCGTCCTTCTGAGACAAATAAAAGTATAATGTATTTATTAATTTTTAAATTTATTTATTACTTCAAACTCTTTCGATCAAATAAATGAGAATGAAAATTGTATGTCATTTGACTCTTTAGAGTTTGGCAAGGGGGGCTCTCGTGGCCTAGAGGTTAAGGTGTTGGCCTCTCATTCAAAGGTTCCGGGTTCGAATGCGGGTAGCGACCGAAAAATTTTCTTCTCTAAATTTGTCCCCTTTCACCTCATTTCCTGCTCTCTAGCAATGTTCAATATCGTCTGCTTTCGTCTCCTCTTTCTGCCCCCACCCCCTCACCTCCTTTGCCCCCTCCTCTGGGCTCCTGACTCTTTCTACCGCCTTTCTACTGCTACTTCTTCGCTTCTTCTTACTGCTGTCTTTCAGCCACACCCCTGATCTTCTGGTAGGAAAGATCTACACCTAGCCTTCTCGGACAAGGGCGAACAATCTCGGAGGGTCCGTGTGCAAGTTGCGCACGTTAAAGATCCCTTGGTGGTCTAAAATCAATAAGAGTAGGCTTCGGCTGCCACCAGGGCAAAATTAAAAATTTCTTACCAACTGAAAATATTAAGTGTGTCCCGCGCGCTCATATGACCTTATGCAGTTGCGAGCGCCGTAAAACCCTTTACAAAAACAAACAAGAGTATATGGGGGGGGGGGGGGGGGGGGGCATTAACATCTCGAGTTCTTATGCGCAGTACAATTGTAATTGTAAATGGGCTGATTCATTAATGTCACGCTCATAACTGTTCCTGAACTGCAACAGGGAACTGCTGCTTTTTCTTTCCTAATCTTTACTATCGTCATTTCTTCTCTACTTCTTTTGTATGTTTGCCACACTCTTGTGAACTGCTCTTTCCGGGGGTGCCTTGATAGTGGAAGTAAACTTTGTGCTGTTGAAGCTAGAGAGATGAGCAGGGTAAGTCTGATTCCCTGTAAGTTGTAAGGATTTCTTGGTTGACATCCACCCCCTTGGTGCCCATATGACCTTATGCAGTTGCGAGCGCCGTAAAATCTCTACTAAAACTAAACGAATCCTCTCCTGACTCTACAACTATGGCCTCTCCCATTGCTTATCTCTCTGCTACAGGTCATCGATGGGGGAGACATGGACATCGACATGTTGGTTGCTGGGCCGGACAACCGGATTTATCAGAGTGACCTGAGGAAGACGGAGAATGTGGTCAGGTATGTGCTCACTTCTCGGGGTTTTTTGTTTGTTTGTTTTTGTTGGGGGGGGGGGTTAATTTTTTAATTTAGGGGGGGGGGTAATTTTTTTACATTTTTTTAAATTTTTTTTTTTTTTTTTTTGGGGGGGGTATCAAGCCTATCCGTACGTCGTGTTTTACTATCCTATCCATACGACGTGGGGAACTCTGTGCCACCACTTAACCCTATCCGTACGTCGTGTTTTACTAACGTATCCATACGACGTGGGGAACTCTGTGCCACCACTTAACCCTATCCGTACGTCGTGTTTTACTAACGTATCCATACGACGTGGGGAACTCTGTGCCACCACTTAACCCTATCCGTAAGTCGTGTTTTACTATCGTATCCATACGACGTGGGGAACTCTATGCCACCACTTCCCAAAGAGGAAATTTACTCGTTAATCCGATCCGTACGCTTTGCATAGCAGTTTGTCAAAATGGTTTTTTAAGAAATACTGAAAGTTTCAAAGATATCTTCGTACTAGGAGTATTCTAAAATGTGAAGAATACAACCCCGGGGGTACAAAATGACCCCAGGGCGTACGGATAGGGTTAAATGGGAATAACACATCGTTTTTCTGTGGCATGCACAGATGGGTTTAGTCAAACGTAATGTACAAATGTGAGGCAGCGTGGTGGAAGCAGGCTCTCGTCAAATTTAGGGCATGTAGAGTTATTGGTATCACCTTAAAGCTTGTTCACTTGTCTTTATTTGGATGAGAAAAAAAATGTCCATTTATCTTGAATACAAGTCGAGATATCTGCGAATGAAGGAGGTGGAGTCACCTGTTTTCAGAGGTAAAATTAGTGAGAAAATGGCCGCCAAAGTTTAGTTTATTTCCATAGATTAAGAGTCCGTGGTAACTGAACATTTTAATTTTTTTGTGCCTTTAATCAACGTTTTTTTTTTTAAAGGAAATTCAAACAGAAATGAGTTCTTTAATGGGCGGCATGGCATGAAAGGTGTTCAGCCAAAAAACTAAAAATTTATTTTAAAATACACAAACCTATGGAAAAATCCAAGTTTCTTCACTTTGATTATTTTGACGAGAGCCTGAGAGCCTGATTCCACCACGCTGCCTCACAAATGTTTTTTATTTTATTTTATTTTTTTAATTATTTTTAGGCCTATTGAGGAACTGTGCAGTCTGGCCCAGTTTATAATAGATACTGGTCTTATAGTGTGATGGGCTATAAAAAAAAAGTGTCCAATTTTAGTCCATGCCAGTTTTCGGACTTTCCTCTCTCCCTTTCCTCCCCCTCTCTCCTCCACTCCACTCCCCCCCCCCTCTCTCTCTGTCTCTCTCTCTCTGTCTCTCTTTCTCTCTCTCTCTCTGTCTCTCTTTCTCTCTCTCTCTCTTTCTCTCTCTTTCTCTCTCTTTCTCTCTCTCTTTCTCTCTCTCTCTCTCTCTCTCTCTCTCTCTCTCTCTCTCTCTCTCTCTCTCTCTCTCTCTCTCTCTCTCTGTCTCTCTCTCTCTCTCTGTCTCTCTGTGTCTCTCACTCTCCCTCTTTCTTTCTCTTTCTCTTTCTCTCTCAAAAAGTGTTACTTAAATAGAAATAAAAATTTACAATGGATAGTACACAATACTACATAATATAAACTATAATCAAAACTGTGGGTGGTTGGCGAGTGCTCTGGTGTGGTTTGCTCCTTCTTTCCTATCAAACATCTATCGTCCTGATTTCTCCTACTTCTTTTTTATGTTTGTTACTCTTTAGTAAAAACCTCTAATCCTCTGGCGCTCACATGACCTTATGCAGTTGCGAGCGCCGTAAAAACCTCTACTAAAACTTTTTTTAAAACCCCAAAAAAACTTCGGCTAATTGTCATAATATTTGCGCTACTCTCTCTCTCCCCCTGACAGGTTCAAGACCACCAGCGCGGGAGACTACAAGATCTGCTTTGACAACACCTTCAGCCGCATCTCCAACAAAATTGTTTACTTCGAGGTGTTCATCGAGGATGGCAGCGACGACGACGAATTTGACGGGGACGACAGTAAGCTGACCTTTGAGGGGGAGGACATCCAAGGACAGCTGGACATGACCATGGAGGATTTTATGGTGAGTGGCGGGGGGGGGGGGGGGGGGGGTGTAAAAGGGGGGGGGCTCTTGAAGATTTTATGTGTGATTGTGAGAGGAGGGGGGGATTTGGGGGGGGAAAGAGGCGCCCCTGGCCTATAAAAAAAAGAGAAATTT